TTATTAAATTGTTACTATTTGTTACATGAACTAATATTAAATTCTAAATATTATTTTAAGGGTTATTATAAATTATTGCAGGTGTTTTTAATATTATTTTATTATTATATTTTCATTCTGTAACAGTGCACCTTAAATTAATTTAAAAAAAATTATTAAAATAATTAAAAATTAATTAATTAAAGATTAAAAAAAAAATTAAAATATTTAAAATACATACCTTTGCCGCATTGGTGTTCGTTTCTCTGGGCTGCCGTCTTTCCCATTCTACCTCCCATTCTTCACCAACAAGACTATGAATCGTAGATAACATTGTAATTGGTCTGTTGTCTTGCCAAAAAATAGTCTATACTTTATTTATTGTAACACCAGAGCGAACATCCCAATCAAGCTTGACATTTTTATTCACCTTTAATTCTTTTGAAAATCTGGAAGCTGTTTTTCGGACAGTTCCACAAGCACCAATGCCAATTTGCTGAAAATACTGAAAAAGAGAGACATTAGAAAAATAATTATTCATGTAAATGTTATATGAAAATTGCTAATATAGAAGTTGAGAAACAAGGTGATAAACCAGGTATTCAGTTTAATTAAAGCTATTCACTCTTGTTATGTTGCTTGGCGAGACACGCAATGTAGGCAAGAAAGTGTATATATATCCAAATTCACAAAGGGATAAAATCTTAAAGCCCTCTGGAATAGGTTTATTTTTTATTCGAACAGTATAAACACTTCACCTAGAAAATCGTACTATCATCTCATTCACTGAAACATTTGAATTTGACGTGTAAAGTAATTTTGAAACATCACGAATTTTTGAAAGTAATGGTTCCAGTTTGTTAAAGTAATTATTAATCGTAGCAGTGGGAGAAGAGATATGCAAATACCTTTTAATTTGTTCAAAACGTTTTAATGACATGAGTTTTGAAATACTGTGAGTGGAAAACTTTGCATCCTCATTCCAATATTGATTGAGAAAAGGTAATTTGTAAAGTCCTTGATAAATAACCAGAGCAATCCAGATAATAAACTCTCTACGATCTATTTTTTGCCATTGTTTATTAAAGTCACTAGTGCCTTTTGTTAATGCGTACAAATTTGTATTAACAACTATCGTGTCTAACGTAGCATTTGAAAAAAAATGGAGAAAAAGGTTGACTGGTTTAGAAAAATTGGCATCATAATTTGGTGGCAATTTAACAAATGTTCGATGTAGTGGTCTTGGATAAATAAAGTATACATGCCACTCAAATTCAAAATCCAAATGCCGAAATCCCAAATGCCGAAATCCCAAATCCCAAATCCCAAATTATGATTAGTATTTTTTGCTGAAATCCCAAATCCCAAAACCCAAATACTAGTAATTTGAGATTTTGGCATTCCAAATCCCAAATAATTTGGGATTTGGGTAACACGTATAGAATAAAGTGTTCAAAATTAGGAGGTGGTGATGGCAGTTGTACAGTTCCTGCTCGTTTGCGTCTACCTCTTTGAACATTTCTGGTTTCTGCTTTCTCGTCCTCATCCTCAATCTCTGATTCCAGATCATCCACAAAATGTTGGCAGAATGTCAAAAGTGATACATATTCTCTCTCGTCCTCTGCATATATCTCTGCAATTTCAAGAGGAGGCAAACTCGAGGTCGAACCCGAAGACAACATATTCGACCTAGTTGTAGGGGGCATACTTTTTAATGTTATTTTTGTGGGGTAGAAATTTTAGATTATCATTTAGAAGGATTGTTAAAGGAGAATCATGGGGCGATCAGCAAGGTAGCACGATTTCATAATTACTTAGGAAGGTGTTTAGGAAAATCAGGCGCAGTTGCACAATGGTCGATCAAAAATAATTTTAGCGGGCAAATTTGCCCGCTGGACGGATTAAGGGATATAAATGCCTCCTGTGGCTTGTATTGTTCAATTATTGTGAAACGTATTTTTTATGTAGAACCCAAATTCACGTTTTTCGTGCAATCCAATTTCACATATTTATACATATCCCGTTTTGGTTTTTTTTCTAATTTTTTTTCGCTCATAAAATTCGCCTTTCCATTTCGATTGTGCAATAATAAACGAATTTTCTACTTGTATGCTTTGTCTTCATTACATGTCGGAAGAAAGGTGAGAAATAACTAGCCTCCGAATCTTTGAAGGTATAATTTGCAGTTTACTATAAATAATTACATTTTGCACATGATTCGATAATCAATTTGCAACTATATAAAAAATCACATTTTGCGGTTGATCAACTCGATAATCGATTTTTTTCATGTCTGCATTCGCCAAATTTTTTTCAACTCTTGAGAATTCGCGAAATATAGCCAGAGCCCTGCTTAATCACCCGAATTACATCAATACTCAAGCATCTAAATTTACGAAAGATGATGTAAGGCACTGAGAGTGAGATTTCAGCCAGCATCCGAAGGCCACGTTATTCCTAACGAGAAAGTCGAGGAATTTCCAGAACAGTACGTTTGCCCCAGAATAAACAGAAACATGCTCGGTAATTCAGAATTCAAAGTTGGAAAAATTAGCGATTTTTCAGATAGGAAAGTCCAAACCTTCTTTCACAAACTGCATCTCGTTACGAGAAATCTACCAGGAATATCTGAATCTAGAACTGGCGTGTTGATCGATAATTTGCTTGATATTTACGGGCTGGACGACTGGCCCTTGATTATATCGTGAGTAATTTAAAAGATCTGTCTTATTCAAATGGCATCCTAAATTTTTCCTTCTACAAAATCCAGAGCTCAACCACAAAGCAAACTACATATCTTAAATGAGCCTTATGTTTCGGCAACTCCCGAATTTGTGATTAATAAAGAAACAATATCTATGGTTATTGCAGAAGTGTGTATTCTATTTGATTGTTCGGTAAGTCAATATCTTTGATTACTTAAATAGGTTTTTTTTACAGGATAAAAGCTTACAAAACGTAAGCCCTAGAAACGATTTTGGAGAAATGCAAATTGCTGGTGAAATACTTGCTTGCGGAGATGAAAACATACGCGAAACTGGTGAACTTTCTGATCAGGTTTTATTTGCTGTTCGCTTTATCTATGTTACATTTTACAAAGCCGAAATTCCCGCGAAATATTGGAATGAGCTTGATGTGGGCTTACCAAAAAAATATTCAGTTGCAATAAAAAGATGGCCAGGAGAGAATAAGAAGCGAAGTGGTCTTGATCTTGCAGACCCAGATGGAAGGAAAACAGTGTTTTGCACTGACCAAAATTCGTCAATTTCTTTTGAAGTAGGCGAATCAGTAAGAATAGCATAATGGGATTGGTTTAACTGCGCTCGACACACAATTACAAGTATTTCACATATGATGTTATTATTTCTAATTACAATTTCTATCGCTATATTTTCAATTCAATTCTTGGATCTTGAAATCATGAATGATGTTACAAACATAAAAATAAAACGAGTTAATCACTTTATCACTTTATACGAAAAATATATGTTCTTTTTTCTTTTTGTTGATCACTTTGAGCATGTAATCCCTGATTTTTTCCGGGTATTGGCCGTATATATTTTTATTTAACCACATTAATAGATATTGGGCACGATGTGCTATTTTAACATGATTTTTATTTTGGAAAAATAATAACAAAGCAAAAAAAAAATAAGATACACGTATTTAAACACTTATCTGCGATATGTATTATAAATTATTTGGTTATAGGTCGAAAATTTTAAACACTTGATTAACGAAACCCTTAATTTTTGTATCCTTTCCGGAATAACAATTTCTGGCTTTCCACACTTCTAGAAGAAAAATTCCGTTATCTTGACATATGCATATTTTTTTCCGATCACGGTTAACAATATCCTCGAGTTTTTTAACATCTTTATACCAGCTGGTGTGATGAAGCCGATGTTGAGCTCCTTGCACCTCTAACGCGATTTGATGTTTTTTAAAGAAGGCGTCAAATTCTAATCCATTTAAAAAAGGAGGCCGATACTCAATTATTGGTCCCTCATCAAGAATTTCCATAGCTATCTGAATACATTTACTCTGGAATTTACGATTTTTTTTTAGATATCGGCTTCAGTTCCAATTTCGCAATTCTAACTTTAAGATCATTATCTGCATCTTCCAGCTTTTGAATTCTGGCTAAAAGATCATCATCTACATCAAGTTTAGAAATTCTTTCACTTGACAAATCAATTGTGGATTGAGCGTCTTCCATTGTTTTATACAAGATACGGATATGTTCAAAAGTTCGAGTCTGATAAATCACATGACTCCGTGAAAAAATTTCACGCACTTTCGCCAAGAAAAATTTTAAAAAATCAGAAAAAAAAATAAAAATAAATTCGGAAAAAATATACGTATATGAGCTTTGTTGTTACAATAAAATATATAGGCGTATAGATGATTGTTTAATAAAATACAGTCACAAAAAATTTTCTAATATCTATTTTCTAATCTTTTCATGCACACGTCGCTTTTTACTCTCGGGTTCGTCATACAATTATTCGTTTGAAGAAGGACTTGTTCAAAAAAAAGGTTTCTTTTTTACCAATACCCTTTGCATATGTCATTATTTTTTTGAATATCATTGGATTTGTACACTTCCCGCTTTGAACACAATTTTTATTTCTATTCTCGTCACTACTATCGCTCGTTTAATCATATCGCATTTTTCTAATCATGGAATAATTGAACATGTTAATTACCATAATTCTAAAACTGAAATTTTGGCACAGATTAAAGCTGAGAATATTAAAGAAGTTACACATTTTTATATGAATCCAAAGATCCTAAAAATAAAGATCTCGACGAAATGGAAAGGTACCAAGTTGGTTCAGTAGAAGGACATGTTTATATTTATAAGGAAGACGATGGAAGAGATAATGAATTACCAAAGTGGTATGAAGCCCCGGTATTGATGTTCAAGCATGGGGTGAAGTATTTATTATTGGTATTAATTGCATTATTATTACTACTGTTAATGAAACTATTGGAACTATTGGGACTATTGAAACTATTGGGACTATTATCAAAATTAGAAAAAATCGAGAAATGAAACTATCAAAAGATTCTTCTATGTTATATTTTGTGATCAAGATTTACATTTTGTGAAACTTAATTTTAAATCTTCTAAACCTTTTAAATGCAATAATATCGAATACTATTGGTACACAATTAAATCTAAATTGATGAATTTAATGATAGAGTAATTTTTGAAAAAAATTAAAAAACATTAAGTCACGATCCCAAGTGTACGAGATATAATTGTGAAGAGGCCAAATCAGAAATACGAAATTTTAAAGATGAAGATGAAATCCAAGGCGACAAAGATGATGATAAAATAGAAGATCGAGAATTAAACTCCAAGGTGTTTATCAATTTGAAACAGGATTTCTCAATTATATTATATTATTCATTCTCATAGGGGCCTCAATAAAAATGGAAACAAAGTCCAAATAAAAATCAATGAATAGATTACAAAATGCTTATCAATATATCATCGCAGAAAGGGAAATTATCTTCTTTAGATTTTCAAAATATATGATATTTTTATATTTTATTATTTATTATTATTATTATTATTATTTGTGTTATTAACGCGTCAACATATATTAGACGTGTGTATTGAATAAATTATTTTTATTGAACAATGTTAAACGAATTCTTATATTGTTTTCGTACTCAATGAACCTACAGCAGTATATATAGAGTATTGAAGTTAAAATATAAAACTACTCTCTCTCCTTCCTCGTAATATTATGTCTTGACACATTTCTATTTTTTAAAAAGCGATAATGTTTGGTATAGAACTAATTCCTCTTCACCACCACCAAAAAAGTCCTATTAATTCATTCCTTGGGCAATGTCGTTAGATTCTTTTGCTGATACAACATATAATCGACAAAAAATTTAATGTCTCTCACATTTGTACTTGCCAAAAAAACTATTTGATTATAATCTTCATTTTGTTATCTCAAAAGCTATTAATAAATGGTACAGCATGATTGTTCGAGAATTCTTCTCCAATAAAAGTACTCTGAAAAATATTATTTTTGGACTGAAAGTAAAACCTGTGATTTATCATATATTGGAATATGCCATATTGTGTAGATTATCGAATGGAATTTCAATGGTTCATTGATTTCTTTTGTCTTATTTAGCCTCCGCAACAACCTCAAATTGTGAATTGGTCATATTAAAGTATATTAAGTATATTAGTGTCTATATTTTTTGTATTCTAAAATTTCAATGAGAAGTTTTTTGGCAATTATTATTCTTCATCATCTTTGCTATCCTTTTCGTGGTCGTCAATAGTTAATACTTCTATTATATAGAAAATTATTTTATCAATAGCTTCTGCCAAAGCATTTTTATTTCTTCATTTTATCGCTATAGAGATCTTAAATTAGAAAAACGGGGGGATACCTACACTATTATAATGATATAAATACTTGAAATTTATTAAATAAAACTTACTCTCGTAATTTGTTAGCGGTATCTTGAACACGTTTCTAACAAACTTCCTCGGATTTTCAGAAGTTCCGACATTACTGGCTTTAGAGAACGTCTATTTCATCTTTTTTTATTACTATTAAATCATGTAGATAATGGCCAATAACGATTTTATTTTTCAGACGTCATATATGTGATATAAAAACATCGAAGTGAGTCAAAATCAGCTCATTTGTATTTATTAATTGATCTGATTGATTCTTTAATAATATTTTTTAATGGTGATGCCCTTTCTTTATGTATTTGTATTTAATGATAATGATGATATAATGAATTTCTATGATAAAAAAAAATAATATTTAACTAAACTAAATTTACATGAAGAATTTATATTTACATACTCAGGATTGAATTTATCTTTTGATCATATTTTGACTACAAAAAAAAAACTAACTAAATTAAAATTCAAAAAATTGGAAATAGTAGCAAATATAAGTGATTATCAACGGAATCGCGAATCAATTTAAGTTAAATGAATGAATTTATTTATATTTTGATATTTTTTTTTTTTTTAAAAAAAAATTTGAGTCTATTAAAGTCACCATAGTAAATAAATAAATAAATCATTGATAATATCAGTGATAATAATCAATAACAATAAAATAATAAAATAATAAAATAATAAAATAATAAAATAAAAAGAAAAGCGGATTATTAATTATTAATATTATTCATGTCATGTAAATTAAATATTATTTATTATTTGCAAAACAAAACAAAACGTATCCGCCACAAATATTATAAATATTGGTTAACTCTTTTTAACTCTCAGTCTTTTATCTCCCTTTTCTTTTCTCCTCTTTTATATATACAACTTACAAATTACAAGTTACGAAATTACAAGTTACAAATTACAAGTTACAAAAGTTATAATTTATATCAGTTTATAATTTATAAAATTTATACAGTTATATTTATTTATTTGATTGAAAATATAAAATTTAACTTCGCTGTTTTTATATGAGTTAATTTTTCTTTTTAAAAAATCTCCACTATTTTTTTTTTCTTTTCAGACTTTAAAATTGATTTATTATTTATTATTTAAAAATAAATTTCATAATAAAAATGGTACGACAAAAGAGAGAGAAAGAATATAAAATGCAAACCAATAATATAACAAATATACAAGAAGCATCTTCTTCTTCTTCTTCTTCCACTACTTCTTCTTCCACTTCTACAACAGTGACAACGACATCAACATCATCTACATCAAATGTCCAACAATTTAAACTTGAACAAAAACCACCACTTTTATTACCACAACAATCATCACAATCTCAAACTTTAAATCAAAAATCATCTAAAACTTTACAACCTTTCATTAATAATAATAACAACGATAATAATAATAATAATTTAAATCAAGTTCCTCAAGGAATTAATACTTATGAATTGATTCCTAACCCTATTTCTACTGGACAAGTATCTCAACCTGCACCAGGTATAAAACCCAAAAGGAAACAAGTTAAGAACGCTTGTGGTAAGTTTTTAATTAAATTACACACTTTTTTTTATTATTATTACGCTTAATAATTATACCTTTAAAAGAGAAAAGTAATAATTTTTGATAATAATAATAATAATAATCATAATATAATAATCATAATAATGATAATAAAATAAATTATTGTAATATAGTATTTTTTTTTTTTTCTTTTTTCCTGTTTAATTCTCGATTTTATACTTTTTAACAAACAATCTTAATTTGGAAATGATATATATAACTTTTTCCATTGTGTTGAAAATCTTTGAATCTATCGCGATAATGATATTTACTTAAAATGATTTTTTTTTAATTTTGTACTACATTTTTCATTATTATTATATATTATTATTATAAATATATATTATTATTTTTAATATTCCCGTTACATTATATTATATATATAAATTTATATTTATATTTTATCCATTTCTTATATTACATATATCACATATATATATCAGTGAATTGCCAAAAAGCATGCAAGAAATGTGACGATGGTAGACCATGTCAACGATGTATTAGATATGAATTAACCGAAACTTGTCGAAATTCTATTCGAAAAGAGAGAAAGAAGGGTATTAAACGAGGTCCTTACAAAAGAAGACAACAACATCGACAGCAACAACAAACTTTACAGCAACAACAAGAAGAAGAAAAAGAAGTTTTACAGCAAAAACGAGGTTAATAAAGATATTATTAATTTATTTATTTTTTAATTATATTATTTTTAATTATATTTATTAATTTATTTGATTTTAATTATATTATTTAATTTATTTAATTTTATTATATTTTTATTTTAGAGAATACGCCTGATATTAAACCAGAAATGACTTCCATTTCAACTAATAATAATAATACAACTAATAATAATAATAATTCAACTAATAATAATAATAATAATAATAATAATAATAATAATAATAATAATAATAATAATAATACAAATAATTCAACTAATACAAATAATAATAATAATACCACCCCAATATCAATACCAGTTACTTTACAATTGCCTAATTTTCAATTTCAAACTGTAGCGATGCAACCAGCAACTCCAAATACTATTATTCCTTCTAATTTAGGACAGTTTGTAATGATTCCTGCAACTACTGGAACAACTTCTTATTATGTTCTCGTTCCACCTTCTTATTTACAACAACAACAACAATTGTCACAATTACAATTACCACAACAAACAACAACAACAACATCACCACAACTTTCTTCTATTATTTTATCTCAAGATTGGCAATCTTCTTCAACTCAAACGGAAAATGAAATAAAAATAAAACGAAAAAACTCAAATCAAGATAATAATAATAATTCTTCAGAACGAAGGCATGATAATAATATTAACAACAGTAATAATAATAATAATTATAATAATAATAATTATAATAATAATTATAATAATAATTATAATAATAATAATTATAATAATAATTATAATAATAATACAACTACCACTTCTTTTACTATTGACGATAATAAAGAGAATGAGGATGCAAATTTATCTGTACTTTCACAAGTTTGTAGTGATATGTTAGATAAATCTCAAGATGGATCAAAGAAAATTTGTGATGATTTAAAGGATGCAAAATTATTATCATCTTCATCTTATTCTTCATCTTCTTCATCTTCTTCCTCATCCTCTTCTTCATCTCCTTCTTCTAATAACGGTGAATCTTCTTCATTATCTTCACCAAGTAATGTAAATATAATTTTTTCATTAATTGATAAAGATATCAATAAGGATTTCAAGGATATTAAGCCCCCCGTGATGATTACTACAATGAATACTACATTGAATAATATAATGAATACTACAATGAATAATACAATGAATGCTACTAATAATAATGACTATATAAAAGAAGAGAAAATTTATCCTTTTCCTTCTATTACTACTATTTCTTCTTCTTGTGAATCAAATATTGAAAAAGATCATTCAACAACAACAACAATTGATTATCAAACTTCATCACCTTCAACTTTCTCAATTGGCGGTCCTTTAGTCTTTTCAATTCCCGCAAATTCTTATCCTATTGCACCAGTTCCTCAAGTTCCTTTTAAAAGAGATTTAACTTCAGCGACATTTAATGAATCTACTACAAATAATTCAGAAACAACTGATTATAAAAGAATTAGACATAATCATCATCATCATAATGATAATAATAATAATAATAATAATAATAATAATAATAATAATAATAATAATAATAATAATAATTCACTTAATGATGATCAATTTCAATTAGAACAAATGAATGTTTTTAATCATCCTCATCAACCTTATTATCACTCTCATCATCCAATAGATTTTTCTAGAGTTCATCATCGTCATGATCAACTTCCTAGAAATGCGGCGGTTGCAACGATAGAACAAATTAATAGTCAAAATTCATTATATACTACTGCAAATTCTACTACAAGATTTATTGATTCATGTATTAATACATCACAACAACATCAACAACATCAACAACATCAACAACAACAACAATTATCTCCAAAAACACCAACCACTAATAATTTCTCTTATGTTTACAAACCAACAACAATTAGTGGTCACAATGTTGGTCATAATGTTGTTTCTTCGAATGGTTCATCAGATACTATTTCAAAACAAACCTTTACTTCAAATTATGGAGATTTGATGAAAAATGCGTGAATTAATCACAAAGTATCTTATTCTTCTATTTATTTTTTTTTTGATTCAATTTTTTTTTTTATTTATTCAATTAATTCCTTTAATATAATTTTATTATTAGATAATCCTTAACAATACAGTACAGTTAATATAATTTCAAATATTATTATTAGTAATTTTTCTGCTTTTTGCATTTTTTTATTTTTATTATCATTTAGCATAACTTTTCTTTCTCTACAGTATATAAAAATATTCAGTTATTACATTCTCTAATAAAAAAAATATACAAAGTTATTAATAATTTCATACGTAGAGTTTCACATATGTTAAATATGGAAATTAATGAAAATAATGCCTAAGAAAAAAAATTGAGATTTTGATAATCGAAAAAAAAATTTTTTTTTATACATATAATACCAATACATACTATTGATAATACATATAAAAAATTTTTCGAAAAAAATTTCTTCCTTTTTATCATCATCAAATCAAAAAAAAAACGAAAAAAAAAAATAAAGAAATATTATGGCTAACCTACTTCGGACATCTTCTTCAACCTTCGTTTCAACTTCTTCTCTGTTGTTAAGGTCATTAAGACCAATAATTACCGAGAATTCTTATAAATCACCTATTAATTTTTTATCAAGAAGACTTTCATCACCTGTTAATAATAAAATTATTATTAATAATAATAATCATAATTCTATAAGAATTCGTAATTTTTCTGGTACTTCTCTTCGTTCATTTCTTTCTTCTACAGGTAAAAAAATATATTTGATAATATGATTTTACAATTGTTTAAAGATATTTTATGAAAAAGAATTCTTACGAATTTCGAGAATAAATTTTTTTTTTTTTTCGAATATTTTTTCGAACACATTTATTTTTTCAAATGGTTTTCAAATACGATAACATATACTTACATGTAAATATGTGTATATATATATTTATTAATTAAATAGTTGATAAAGAATTGGCCACTAAACTAGATGAAGAACTTAAATATGAGAAAGACAGTGATTCTTCTGTTCCAACTCCGGAGTTTATAAAGAAATTTTTATCCCAGAACCCATTTAAAGTATGTAATCTTTTTTTTTTTTAATCACTTTTATCACTTTTTTCACTTTTTTTTTTCCTTATCCCTTCACCATCTTATCTTTATCCTTTCATTTTCTATATCACTTTACAAAATCATTTTCATTTATTATTATTATTTAGATAGAAGATAAACCTGGGGCTAATGAAGTTGCACTTTCAAGAACTTTTGGTAACGAAAGGTAATGTTTAATTTTATATACATATATATATTTGTAATAATTTTTATATTTTACATATATATATTTTATTTTATTTTTTATTTTACATAGAATCCGTTTGCTCTTTGATGTTAATACTTCAGAACAACCAGCAGAACCTATTTCATTCCCTGGTGATGATGAAGAGGAGGACGATGAGGTAAGTTATTATTATTATTTTATTTTATTCAATTTATTCTTGTAGAGAAGGTTATTTCTTGTGAGATAGTTATTTCTTTGAGGAATAATATTATAATATTATACACACCTCCCCTCCCACACATATATATAGGATGACCAATCGACAGATGAAGAAGAAGAAGATGATGAATCTGGTGACCAATCATTACCAGTTAGATGTTCTATTACCGTCGAAAAGGTAAATAAAATCTATTTTCATATACACATTATATAATTTATAATAATACATAAAGAAAAGTGATTAAATTTCTTTATATATATATATTTTCGTATGATTTATAGGCTGGTAAAGGGGCATTAGGATTCGAATCTTTAGTTGCTGATGGTGTTTTCCTTATAAATTATGTTTCATATTATAAAGATTCTAAATTGGCGGGTGATTGGACTGCTGAAGCTGATTGGAAACGAAGAGGATATTATCCTGGACCACAATTTGAAACATTAGATAATGTTAATATTAAATTTCTTATTATTATTATTAATTGTTATAAATTACTAATTATTATTATTAATTAGTATTATTATTATTAATTACTATAATTATTAATTATTATAATTATTTTATTATGATAACAGGATGTACAAGTTCTTTTCGAAAAATATTTGGAAGAACGTGGAATAAGTACTTCGGTTGCTCTTTTCATTCCAAATTATGTTGAATATAAAGAACAAAAAGAATATGTTTCGTGGTTAGAGAATGTGAAAACTTTCATCTCATCATCTTAAATAATAATAATAATAATAATAATAATAATGTTTTAAATTAAATTTTTTAAAAAAAAAAAATTTCGTGTTAAAAAAAAAAAAAAAATTACAATAATATTATTAATATTAAGTTATAAAAAAATTATAGTAATGAATATATTTATATTGTTACTTTCATTTTGTTAAAGTAATAAATTAATTCACAAGTTAATAATAATAGTTTTTATTATTTTTTATTATTATTTAAAATGGTTTTCACACCTATCTGTATCTGGTGTCAGATTGGTGTTAATTATACTGTGCCTGGATAAATTACTAAATTTTGATTCAAAAAAGGAAATATTATTAACAATAAAATTTTGCTAATCCTATTGTTAATATTTCCTTTTTTGAATTTGGGCGGCATGTAGGATATAAACTACAGTAATTAGCTTAAAGTTTTTTTTAAAAAAATGAATACTTGTTTTTGTTTTTCTCTTTCTAACTTTTGGCCAAGCTCTTACAAAATGACATTATTAGAATTTGCATTAAAGGTATAAATTTTCGCTGCAGGCAGGATATTCCTTCCTAGATAAGTTTTTAATAATAATAACAGATTGATGAACAATACAACAACAAAAGTCATCATTATTCATATACTTTCTGCTAACATTTCGACCTGTGCATAAATCACCCTATTCTTTTTATTTCATTTAATTATAATAAAATATTTGACCAGTGTAACCATAATGAATAAACTTTTTTAAGTAGATATTCATTGATCCATTATTATTCTTTTTTCGGATCAAAAATTTTTTAATAATAGTAGTGAAAAAATTAGAATTAGTAAATTAGTAAAAAAATACTATTTAAAAAATAAATACTTTAGGCGCTTTATTTATGAATGATTGTTTTTTCGATTCTAAGGTTCTTCATTGCTTCCAGCTATTTCAAGAACTTCATTTTTTGCCTTTTTACGATTAATAAAAATCACAGCCAAAATCACAATTACCAAACTTATTACCCCAATTCCAATAACTAAAGCTTTTATAGGCAGAGGATTATTAGCACTTGTACTAGTGCTTGGACTAATTGTGTTTGTATTAGTAGTGTTTGTATTAGTAGTGTTAGTACTTGTAGTACTTGTAGTGTGAACAGGAGGAATAAAATTTATAGTCCATCTATTACTTGTAATATTATAAAGGTATACTTGAGAATTATATGTTTGATCAATTGTATTATTTCCTATAAAATTATAAAATTCAATAAATAAAGTTAACATAATAGAAAAATGATTATTATAAATATTGAATCATATTTACTAACCAAATGTAATTATCATGTAATTAAAATATAATTTAGCAGAATGACCATGAATATATGGTGGAGAATTGTAATCGGATTCAATTGGAATAGACCATTTATATGGAGATTGGTTTGTATCTAATACAGCCAGTTTTGGGTTAACACTAGCATAATCGATAGTACAACCCCCAAATATAATAATACGTCCATCTGGCGCTATTTAAAATATTTAATTTAATATAAGTTTTTTATATTTTCAGAAATAATAAATAATTTGGATACTTACTTAAAACAGAAGAAAAATGCCATCTTGGGTTAACAGAATCACCACCAGTGGCATTCTTAGAATTAAATATAATTGATAAGTTATCAGAATACATTTATTTTATATAAATTAATATTAAATACATACCATAGATGACCATACATGTTTCTTTGTATCAAAGAGTTTAATCTATTTGATAATAATATATTAACATTTATGAAAATGATTTAAATAATTTATTAATTCGTATTTAAATTACTTACATCGTTCATTTTTACAAGATAGGCATTGCGGGAATCACCATGTTGAACTATTTTTATAGTTGCACCTTCATCTCTCTTAACCTGATCTATGGGTGCGGATGCATAATTAGAAGTAGAATTTTCTAGTCCAAGTCCACCAATATAAACAATAATTCCATTTGGTAAAATACTAGCTGAATAGCTACAACCTTCACCAGGCGGCGAAGATAGGCTTAGAGTTTTCCAAGTCATTGAAGAAGTATCCAGTGTATTCATATCATTGTATATTTCTCCATCAGTTACTGTTGAAGTAGTGGTATTAAGTCCACCAAAAATATATATAATTCCTGAATCGTCAATTACACCATTTATTAGCTGCCTGGGAGGAATAGTATCGCCAATGATTGATGGTGTGGTCCATTTAGAAGTAGGGTAATCATATGTATAAACTTGGTTTGAATAATCATAATTGAGTGTATCTTTATTTTTTTTATATCCACCAATTTGAAATATTGTATAATTATTTAAACCAACGATAGCAGTTGAATCCCAAACATAAATAGGTAGATCTCCATTAGGAATCGTAGTCCATGGTATTTTTACATTATCAAATGAATTTAATAAATCCAAATAGAATAATGTTGTTAATTGATATAAATTTTGATCATTCCATCCAGCAAAGATTATGAGTTTATTATCGATTATTACATTATTATGATAATATCTATCAGTTTGACCGCATAAAATCAAACCAATTAAAAAATTAATGTAAAAAATAAATTCAACTAAGAAATACATCTTTTAATACTTGAAATACGTAATAGGGTGAAATAAATTCATAAAAAAATTTTTTTTTCTTCTCGAAAAAAAAAAAAACCGTTAACCCTAACCAACATATGAATAAACTTCAAACAATAGCAATTGAATGCTTTCCGTGACATGATAAATTTGTGTTATCAATTGACTTTAATAAGGCTATCGTATGATATTTTTTGTTTGGGTGATTTGGATTTTGTGTTACGGATTTTTGTGTTATCCCATAAGAAATCCGGTGACCCAAGTCTGGACTAGGCTTATCAGAAGATTTTTAGTCTTGTCTCGAAGAGGATTAGTCGTTTCCTTGATGCATGATTTCATTATATTCTTATAAGTTATTACCTAATCAGTATGCATTTGGATTTCTTAGTAACTAATTTTATTTCACGTGATATTTAAACTTATAACGATAAATCTTTTATTTGTTAGAGGCAAAAGAAATTTAAGAAAATTTATTTCCTAAGGACATGAAATTATAATACGTAAGTAAATTTTAAATATTCCTACCTTTTTGGATGGATTTAAATTATTTTTTAAAAAATTACTTACCTTCTTCGTGATCTAAAATATTTTGAGTAATTTTTTTATGTTACCTTATTACGACTTGCAGGTAAGAATTTTATTACGTATTTATTGATTTTTCAATACTCTCCTTTCTTGGAAACTATTTTATAACTTTAGATATACTAGGTATATTTGTAGTAAATAAAATGGATTCCAGAACACCACATAATAAAGTTGATTAAGATATATAAATTTGTGAAGAACCAAAATTTTAAAATCAAGATTCAGAAAATTTCTATTATTTTTGATTAATTTGTTTAATTAAATTCTAATTTTATCTTTTATTTAGATAATAAAGAAGAATTCCAACAATTCTAATTATTAATTCTTTGGATTATTTTTATAAATTTATTTTATTATTTTTGAGTGAACTGGAAAAATCTAATTCATCCAATACACCTGATAGTGGTTATATATCTTATTTTATTCTTTTAGTTATGTATACTGTAAAATTTATAATCATAATGTACTTTTATAATTAACTTGTTAATATCGATTTTAATTTTTGATAATAATAAATTTTAAATTTAATTAATAAAATTTTTTTCAAAATTATTATCTAAAATTGCATTCTTTAATACACAATATTCTTTGATTCAAAGTTAATTCCAAGAATAGTTATATCAACTTTACACCAGATTCGATTAACTAATAATGACGAATATAAATCTTGAGTTGAATAAGATTATTTATGTAAATTATAATTAATACTTCTATTGCCATTTTTTTTTATATCGAAGAAAATAGAAATTTGAGAAATATAATCGAACCTGTATAATTGCATAATAAAATTTTCATGGGAATATAAACTATAAGCATACGAAAAATTTTAACCTTATAGAATAGTCACTCATATTGATATATATAAAGTTATTACTCTACTGCAATTGTATGATTAAATTTGTAGCTATTCCAAAATAATAAAAATAATAATAATTAACATTTATTAAATTAACTAAAAAATTATTATTTGAAAAATTATTTTCCGATGTTAATGAACGTTTTTACGTAATCTCCTTGGCATTTTATTTCCTTCTCCTCCTTTACAACACCAACCTTCAAAAATTTTCTTAAACTATTAGCACTAAATATCAATGGACAATCATAAACCATTTTAATTATAATAGTTTCAAGTGATTTTTGCATCTGGCATAATAATTCATCAGCAAAGATTACTTCCCAACAATCAAGTGAAAATTTTTTTAATTCATTAAAATTATTATTAAATATTGCCATTACATGTTCAGGTCTCAAATTATGTAAATATAATTCGTTAATATTTGTGCAATAACTTAAAATTGCTAAAAATGTATCTGTGGTATGTTCATTTAAATAAATTTTCTTAATTTTATATTGGCTGTTTCGAATAAATTCTTGAGGATATTTCTCATAAAAACTACGAAAATGAAAACTACTTGATTGAGTAAATGATGAAGCAAAAAATAAACAATCCATAACAATTTTGAGTATAAAGTTCTTGAAGTGAAATAAATTGTTCAATTAGTGATGAATTCTCCTTAAAACCATGAAAACTACTCGTTCTAGACGAAGACTCTTTATGTTTCTTTTTGATTAATGATAGCCCAAAATATTAAATCAAAACTATATTCTTTATCATCAATCGATAGATTTTCTAAACGTTGATAATAATTGTGCTTGAGAATATGAAACTAATTTCAAACCCATATTTAAAATATTATCACAAATTAGTGCTAATGATCCATATAATGGACGAGGCATTTCATTTCCATTATTATCAAAGTAAGACTTTCTAATTTCTTAAATACTTTCGGGGCAAACAGATAACTCGAGAATTGAACAATTAAATCTATGGGATATCTAAAATAATCCAGAAATGAACAACGATTTATTAAATAATATTCTCGATTTTTTGTTATCACTTGGACCAATAATTTGTTGTGGACTAATTTGTAATAGGGAATACATGGAAATAAAATAAACTAAAAATTATTAATTATATTAATTATAAATTTATGAGTGGATAATCAAAAGTAGCTTGAAAATTTTAAATAAAATATATTAAAAAATAAGTAAATAATAAAAATAAATAAAAAAAAATTGAGAAAAAAAGAGAAATAAACGAAAAACAAACTAAGTTCTGTAAAAAAAAAATCCAAAACTTTTATTAAAAGAATTACAATTCTTTCTTTTTTTTCAATTTAACTTTTATTTCGCAATTTCTAATCCCTGTGAAATAAATATTCATTGGTTCCGTCAGTTCAATATCATATTTTCGGTACAACATTAATATAGTAGCTTTTAATTCCATTACTGCCAAATTTCTTCCCGGACCTGCAATATTCGACAAAATGTTAATATACATATTAATATCATATGTTAATGTAGTTGTATACATTCTTCTCATAACTAAGAAGAAATTACTTACACATTCTTTCACCTCCACCAAACATATATAATTTTTTATGATTCATATTATCCTTGCCCATGAATCTATCTGGATTAAATGTATAAGGATCTTTCCAATATGAGCTATTTCTGTGAATTCTGTCATAGTATAATACAAAATTTGTATCCTTTGGCCATTTATAATTTCCTACTGTGACATCTAGTCCAGAATTTCGCAAATCAAATGGTATTATCGTACAGAGTCTTGATGCTGCAATTTAATGTTAAAATTAAATAAGATATTATCATTCAAACGATGAAATACTAATAATAATGAATTTAAATTATAAATTACATTCTTTGATGATAGCATCAAGATATTCAAGTTTTGATAGTTTTTCAAATGTTAGTATAAAATTCTGATTTTTGCCGAAAATACGTTCGATTTCTTCTATCATTCGTAGTTTTACTTTCGGATTATTTTCCAAAAAATTAATTAAAATGCATAAGGTATTTGAACTCTGTAAAAAGAATTAAATCATATTATTACACTTAACCGAACCAAGAGAAATCATCAATTAAGTTAACACTATAACTTACTGTATGAGTCCCACCAGTTAAAACTTCGATAAAATTCGTTATGATATTTTTATCAGACATTGGTTTATCACTAAAATCGTCCGCGATCCCTTCGGTAACGTCTCTTTCAGTGTTTACCGTTAAAAACGTTGTCAACATGTCAGGTTTCAATTCTTGATCAATTGGTATTTTGGAGATCTCTTCTCGCCTTGATTTAATAATATTATGTACATTATTTCTTAACCAATTATCCATATTCTTTAAATATTGAGTGTATCTATTAATTAAGGGAAGATTACGGATAAACTTTGGAAACATACTGAAATAATTCACTCCACGAAAAAGTATATCTGTTGATAAAATCAACATATTACTTTCTTTAAGAATACTTTCTGATATAATTGCTTTTTTATTTGGAGCTATATTATAATAATAATTTGCCAATGCATACGCATGTTTACTGGTGGTAGTAAAAAATATAGTTTCAAAGAAATATCGTTTTATCCAACTACTAAATTCTAATGTTGTGTCTTCTTCAAAATTTTCCCAGTATTTTTCCATTTCTGCAAAACTATTCTGTATGGCTATTACAGATTGTTTAACAAATGGAGGGGACAGCATAAGCTTGTTAAAGAATTTACGATGGAATTTCCATTCATCATAATTACTATTAAACGTTAAACCAGTATTCAATAAACCATATTCCTTAAGACCTTCATGAACTTTGTTTACTCTATTATGAAATGGACTATTAACAATGGGTCTCATAACCTCTTGAACAAGGTTATCGTCACCCAACAAGATAAAACGCTTGGTTCCTACATAAAATTCGCATAGATTACCATAATTTTCTAATTGTTCAATGTCTAAGGAAAAGTTCTTATAAATTTGATGAGCATTACCAATAAGTGGAAGTGGAAAAGGACCAGGAAGTGGATTCTCACGTGTAAAATATTTATAATAAAAATATACGACATAGATAATTGAAGAAATTACAAATATCTTAATTATTTCGTACAAAAGATTTACAGATCCCATCATTAATATCAACAGCTTGTTACTTTGCTTACGATTTTCTATTAAAATATTTCTATTTATCTAATAAAATAATGTCTCGATATTTTAGGCCGCATGGGAATTAGCTAGTATTTTTATTATTTTAAATTGTTCAATGTTACATTTAATTTAACCAGAAGGAAAAATGTAAAATTATCATAATTCATAGAGGATATTAAGAAAAAATCTCGTGTGATCGCGTAAATTTCTATGATGGTCAAATTTTGACCAAATGAATATATTTTTTATTAACCAAATTTAATTAATTGATTAAGTGGTGATCCGCCTAAACTTATGAAGGTCGTCTAATAAAAAAAAAAAAAATTTAAATATAATTTTATATTCATTTGATCTTCCGTAACGGTAATATTTATTTACTATCAAAAGTATTGGACCACGTGAAACTTTTTAAAAAAGATTAAATGTTTATATGTCACAATGAGTAATTTAAATTGAGCAAACTTTTTTTTATTAGATTTCCCTAAACTAGGCTATCATATGTGCAAACACGTGGAGAAATTATAATTGACAAAAATTCTAAATTTAATCTTTGATCGTTATCCATACTGAACTTGATAAATATTAAAGATAGATACCAACTATCTTATATGGAATTGTAGCCAAAAACAATTTCTATGACTTTAATTATTGAATTTTTCACAGTACTTAGTGAAAATTTTGACTTTAATTAGACGTGAATAAAAACGACCGAAATTTAATAAAAAAAAAAAAAATCCGAAAATAATTATCGATCGTTTATACATAAAAAACTTAATTATTTATTAATTTAGCAATAAATGTGGTACTAGGTCACATTAAAGCTGATATATAGAGCATCTTTTGTAAAATTTCAGTCCTATATATTGAGAATTGAGAGAATAATACACGATTGATTTTGGAGTATAATTTAATATTAAACTCGATTCTCAATTTAAAAATTTGAAACTTTCACAGTAGATGCTCCATATATTGACTTCAACTGTATTTAGTACCATTTTTATTGTTATATTAATAGATAAAGAAGTTTTATATGTTGTTACGATTGGCAATTATTTTCGGAGTTTTTTTTTTTTAATTTTTTAAAAATGATCGACACGGATTTTACTACAGTGCGTCCCAACAAATAATTTTTTAGGCAGCCAATATTCAATTGTTGATCTTTTATCACATGAGCCAGAATTTGCAATATTATTGGTTTTAATTTGTTCACATGATATACATACAAAGATTTTTTCCAATGATATTATTCATATCTATTTACACAATGATATTTTTTGTGATACTTTTGATAATTCTTTCTTTGCAAAAAATCACTTTAATAAATTCAATTTAAATATGTCATGTCCAACAAAAAATAAAAAACGATCAATAAAAACATGTGAAGGAAAAGCTGCATGTTGTATTAAACATATCATTAATAATATAGATACAAATAATAGCATAAATTCTATTGATGATGTAGAATATTATAATGAAATAAAAAGCTTCAATATTAATAACACTTCTTTTGATAATTGCTACAATAAGTCAATGGAAAATAATAATGCTATAAATATTATAACAAGACTTCAAGAAGCAGTAAAAAATTTTCAGGAAGAATATACTTCTTATAAAGTACATAAGTCTCATTATATTGAAAACTCGAACCATACAAAAAGAAGAAAGAATTATTAACAGCGTAAAATAACAAAAGGTTCTCTTACATTACATATTTTTTGAAATACTGAAAAATCTACTGATGAACTAATAATAATGATAGTGATCCATTAGATAATAAAATCAAGAATTACAATTGAAATAATAAATCTCAGCTATATTAGAAAATTTTTTCTAGTGAAAATCTTTGAAAATTAACATTAATATAAGTATTTTGCTATTTTTCAATATGTTATTCTTCAAAGGTCTTCGCTAACCTTTGAAAGTTATCAATTTTGATATTTTCATGTGACAAAATTTTGCAAATATTATCATTTTCATAGTAAATTTATATTGATAACCTTCGAAGATTATTGATTTTGATATTTTTATATATGAAATTTTACAAATATTATCATTTTCATAGTAAATTTGTATCGATAACTTTTGAAGATTATCGATTTTGATATCTTCATATGTGAAATTTTGCAAATATTATCATTTTTATAGTAATTTCATATCAATAACCTTTGTTTATGTTAGATATTCATAATATATCATTTCGATAGTCATCACTTGCATTTATATCGCAATAATTTTAAATGACATTGTACTGTCAACAATATCCTTTGAAGTTTATTACAGTAATTTTAATTAATATTGTATTGTTAACAATATCTTTCGAAGTTTATCATATCGTTGATTATCATTTCAAAATTTATAGAAAATAGAAACCTGCATTATATTTAAAAATTATGTAAAAAATAGTTTACATTATTTGTGTCATTGTATAAAAATGTATAGAAAAATAGAAAAAAATATTATAAAATATTTATTATCATCTTTTAATAATAAAATTAATAATAAATTATATAAAAATTCAGAAAGTAATAAAATATTACAAAATGAAATTTTCTACAATATATATTGAATTATAATGAAAATGATTAAATTCAAAGTAATCTGAAAATGATAAACCTGAAACAAAATATGTTGATACTACCTGTTGGAAGAGTGAGAGAACAAGTATAACAAGTGCTTGGGTTTAGCCTAGGAGTTATCAGTGAGTTTTGAAAATATGGAAAGACAAATAATAATAAAGTAACTAATTTTCTATACTATAGGACAATAAAGATTAAGAAATTAGATGAAACAAAGAAGGCATAATTTAAAGGAAGAATAGTGAATATAGAGAAGAGAGAATATGACAAATTCTAGTCTAAAGACAATAAGAGACAAAATGAAATAGTTTTATTAAGACTTTGTAAGGATTTAAAGGATGAATGAGTTTAAAGAATAAAGAAAAGTGA